CCCCCCATCCCGCCGAGGATGAGGGCAGAGAGGGAAGGGTGGGCTTCTGACCGGTTATTCTCAGGCCCTCTGGAGGTGGCCTCGCTGTGGTTGCTGCACTGCTGCGCGCTGTGGGCCTCGGCTTCCCCGCCTCCCCTCCCCCTTGGCACCTCCTGGCCAGTCCTTAACCCACGCACTCCATTTGAATACATGATCTTGGCCACCATCATCGCCAACTGTATTGTGCTGGCACTGGAGCAGCACCTGCCTGACGGGGACAAGACACCCATGTCTGAGCGGCTGGTGAGTGCGGCGGGGCCGAGGGCAGGGCTGCGGGTGGCGGTGGCTCATCCGATTCCAGGACCCTTTAGGATCTGTGGCTGAGTTTAGCTTCCTTGGACAGGGACATCCGGGCAGCTCTCCTCTCCTTTTGGTGGAGGAAAAGGTGAGAACCCAGGCAGCTAACACCTCCCTCAGGGTCTGGGGGACTGGGGTATCCGGCTCAGCCCACGGTGGGAAGGAAGGCCTGAGAGAGGCCACGTTAGCTAACAGCTACTTTGCCCTGTGCCACTAGCCACCCCACACCCTAAAAGGGTTGTCCAGTTCTACAACCTTAAGCCTTGATCTAAGAAACTTAGTGTAACCTGGGGTAGGGGAGTGGCATTCACAGTGGTCCAGGGTCAGGAATGTCAGGCTCTATGAGCACCCTCACGATGGGTAGGCTGTGGTAGGCCCTGTGGTACGGTCCTGGGTCTAGGGGCTGTCCTCCTTTCCCTCAGAGTTGTCTTTCCTGGCTCTGCTTGGAATACCTTCTCCATGGGGCCACCCCTACCCAGGGGAAGCCCTCCTTCCCAAGCTTTCTTCCCAAACATCCTAAATCGTTTTCACCCACTCCTGCCAAGAGCCGCACAGGTCCCTGTGGTGTCCCCTGTTGGAGCACATGAGAGTCAGGATGCCAGGGCAGGGTCTCTGGAGGGGCTGGGGCAGAGGAAGGGTGATATTTGGAGCAGCGAGTCCCATTTCAAAGGTGTGGCTTGTCCCCTAGCCCCTAGTCTTTCCTGCTGCCCTGATCCCTTTGCCTGGGCTTGGTGTGGGCTCCCAGGCCTGAGAGACTGAGCCTCAGAACAGAGAGAAGGAAAGAGCAGGTACAGGGGTCTGGAGAGGGAACCTGGGGCCTGGCTGAAGAGCTGCCCCAGCAGTCTCTCCTGGGGTTACTGGGCATCAAGAGGAGAATCCCTCTTTCTTTGTAGCCTGGCAAGTGATTGATCGTCTCTGTGGCTTCTTTCTATGACGTCAGTGGAGATAGACAGGAGGTGATACAGGGCCTGTTCAGTGCTTAGTGTGGGCCCTGAACCCCCACTGCCACCATCACAGGCCCAGGGGTGGGGAAGGGGAGACAGAGTAAGGCTGACCTGGGGGTGCTCACAGTGTTGCAAGGCACCAAAAGAAGGCAAGGAAGTGGAGAGCCAGTGGGTGGGAGGTTTTCTGGAGTAGTCATTTCTGCAGGCGCTCAGAAGGCCGGGGGGTTTTGGTTGTGAGAGAGGAGGGGTGTGAAGGACAGCACAGTCATGCCACCAGGCAAGAGTGGGTGTGGTCCCTGTGGGGGAGTCTTGCGCCACCAGGAACCAGACAGGGTCACTTGCCTCCTGTGGCCCCCTTGTGCACGCTGGTGTTGTGTGTGCTTGTGCTGAGTGTGTGTTCTGGGGGCTAGAGCAGAGGGTGAAAGTGAGAGCAGAGAGCCTCTGCCAGGCCACAGGGCGTGGCCATATCTCCAGGGAAGTCTGGCAGGGGTAGGGCCAGAGGGAGGCAGGCCAGGAGATGGTGGGGGGCAGGGGGCAGGGAGACCAGCGCACAGTAGTTGGGCTCACGCTTGTCCCTGCTGGGTGACAGGCTTGAGTGGGCCAGCTGGGCATCCAGGCAAGTCTGAGCTCCTGCCTCCCAAATGAGGGAAGATTTGCTTTGTGGTGAGGGGGGTTGGGCTATCGGGAGAACAAACAGAATGTGCCTAGAGGCCTTGGGAGCCCTTGCTGACCCTAGTCTTGTGTGTAGACACAGGTCTTCGGGCCGTTAGGACAGACAGAAGGCTGGAACACGGATTGGGGCCTGGAGAGGAGAGGCTGTGGCGGCTTCAGGGTTCAGACCTGGAGGCTTGTGCTGATGCTGGTGGACCTGTAGGGGGCCGGGTGACAAAGGGTCAGCCTCTTCACTGTCTGCCAGCCTGGAGTGGGGTGGGGCCTTCACAGCTCTCTGTCTCTGGGGTTCTGCTTCTCGGCCACCCGTCAACCTCCTGAGCGGCCTTTGGCCAGAACCGCTAGCTTGCAGTCCCACCTCACCCCTTCTGAGCTCGCCCTGAAGAGAAGGATCTGTCGTGGGCCCTGTCCCATCTCCCAGCTTGGGCCTGCTCTTTTGTCTGCCTGGAAGCTCTCTGTGAAGACGTGTTTGTTGGAGCCAGTGTCTTCCCTGGGGCTGATGGTCAACAGCCCCTTCGTTTGGGGGAGAGAGGACCCTCCAACTAAAGTAGACCCAAAACTTTCAGAGGATGATTTCGGTCATGAGTCAGCATCTGGGTACCAAGATGGGAGAGCTGGGCGGTGATGGGCACAGGGCTGACGGGGCCCCTGGGGGAGGTGGCTCCTGCCAGGCACAGCCGGAGAGGCCCCGGCTGAGGGTATTCCCAGTCATATGGGGAGGACTCTTGAGGACCAGACTTCCTGTGTGTGGCGGGGGGAGACACGGGCTGCTGGCCCTCAGTGGGAACTGACAGCAGCCACAGGGAGCCAGTCTGGCGCTCTCCTCCCCTGCAGCCCCAAAATGGCCAGTCCCCAGGCCCTGCAACCCTGGCCCCTTTCTGGCAGGGCAGAGCCGCTTTCTATAGGGCAGTTCCTCCTCTGGCTCCCTAAGGGCAGGCCCTTCCCACCACTCCTTCATCTGCTTTTTTATAACAGCAGCCCTGGCGTACAGGTGTCCTTGGTCTGCACTCAGGCCGTTTCCCATGCTGACCTTCCCAGTGCACCCCCGTGGTCCAGTTCCCTGGGGCTCACCTGCACCAAGGCTCTCTATGCCACCATCCCCAAGTGAGCGATGCCCCTGGTCACTTACGACACCATCTGTGCATGTCTCCATGTGACGTCCTCCTCCCCGAGCCCTGTACAGCTTGCTTCCCACCTTGCTCGGCACCAGACAGACCTGGCCCCAGTTGATGCTCGTGGCTGAGTGATAAGATGCGGTGACAACATTCTTTTGCTCACACTGTTCCCTCCACCTGGAATTCCTTTCCTCGCTGCCCCGCTGTCTGCCTTACTCTCCAGAGGCTCCCTGGGGTCTGGGCTGTATTTGCCCCCACCAAGATTTGCATTTGTGTGTTATGATTATTATCCAGAAGATGTGTGTTGAATGAATAAGTGGGTCCTGGGCTGCACCCCAGGAATTGGGGCATTATCCAGGCAACTTCTGAAGTGATTGGAGCCCAGGATCACACCGATCACCTCTGGGTTTGAATATGGCTTGGTTTCCAACAAGCTGTGAGTCTCCAACAAGCTGTCATGTCTGGGCCCGTTTCCTT